ATAACCTTGCTTGCTAAGTTACTAAGCGCCCTGGGCCGTTAAGTAGGAAGACTTCCGAGATTCAGAACCAACTTGCGACATGTAGGGACCTTAGTAATTTCACACAGTTTAGGGCTTACCTGTGGATCCAANNAGGGTTAGACCCTCTAATTAAGGGTTCATAACCGACTATTTCGTAGGGTTTGGGGATACAGGTAGGGTTTAGGGAATAGGGCTTTGGGGGCATATTGTACTATCATCATAGTAAGGAGGCCCCAAAATAGTCTTGGCGATTATTTAGGTCCCCTAATCCTTCAAGCAAACTCTGTGCTTATCCCTGAGGGGACAGCAGATCAGGATTCGGGGGTTTATAGGAGTTCGGTGAAGTTTAGTGGTTTAGGGTCTAAGCGAAACAGCGCAAAAAACCTTGATTCCTACACCCTCAAATCCCAACGCAAAACCCTCAAAACCCCAATAGAACTCTTATGGAACCCTTCTGATACCATAGAACCCCCAACTTCTCCCACCCCTCAAAAAAAAATCAAGCCCCTCAGAACCCCCAGCTTGCTTCCCAGGCACCGACTTAACCCGAAACCCTAAACCCGAAACCCGAAGCCCTAAACCCTCAACCCTAAAACCTATAGACCCTAAACCCTAAGCCCTAAACCCTAAACCCTATACTATTGAACTTGCTTCCAAGAAACCGACTTAGCGCCAGGGCTTTAGCCAGGCTTCGGCTTTGCCGGCCACGCCCGCCGGCCGCGAATCGGTGCAGCGAAGCCTGGCTGCTAGGGTTTAGGGTTTAGGGCTTCTAGGGTTTAGGGTCGTTTTCTTACATTGTTTGTAGTCTTAGAATTGTGCTGTGCTAGTAAGTTTTTTGATTTCAATGTCAACAGCTTGCTTGGTAAATAAACCCTCGTGTTTTAGTGTTGAACTAAGGTTTTTGATTCTTCTGAGTCTGTGAAAAAAATGTGTTGATCAATGCGTGTTGCCCTGGCCTTGCTTTTAATATAGGGGCCGTAATAATTAGAATAGGGTTTTGGGGCCCATTATACAATATTAATAATAAGTAAGGACCTAAACCCTAAACCCTAAACCCTAAACCCTAAAAAACAGTATTGGTATTTATTTAGGCCTCTATATTAGATTTAGCGCTTGGGGGGTCGAGGGCTCCTTGAAAGGTTCGTGAGGGCAGGGCCTGAGGTTTAGGGTTTAAGGTTGACGAAGTTTGGGGTTTAAGGGCTCAAGGTTGAGGGAGTTTAGGGTTTAGGGTTTCAAGTTTGATGAAGTTCAGGGTTTAGGGTTTAAGGTTGAGGGAGTTGAGGTTTAAGGTTGGTGAATTCTACGGTTTGGGTTTAAGGTTCAGGGAGTTTAGGGCTTAGGGTTTAAGGTTGAGGGGGTTTAGGGTTTAGGGTTTAATTTGAGGGAGTTTAAGGTTTAGGGTTTAAGGTTGAAAATTTTAGGGCTTAGGGCTTAAGGTTGAGGGTAATATATAGACAAACAGGCAGATAGACAGATGGGTAGATAGATAGATAGATAGGTAGATAGATAGATAGCTACATAGATACATAGATAGACAGATAGATAGATATACAGATACAAATAACAGATAGACAGACAGGCAGATATACAGATGGGTAGATAGATAGATAGATAGATAGATAGATAGATCGATCGATAGATAGATAGATAGATAGATAGATATAGCAGATAGACAGATAGATAGATAGATAGATAGGTAGATAGATAGATAGATAGGTAGATAGATAGATGGATAGATAGATAGATAGACGGACAGATGGACAGATAGATAGATAGATCGATAGACAGCTACATGGATAGACAGTTAGATAGATGGATAGATTAGTTCTGCCCAAACAAATATACATACAAATACATATATATATATATATATAGATACGCAAACAGAAATACAGTCATATGCACAAAATATCTACATGTATGTATACTCTTGGAATGAGGTGTCGGTGTCTAGCACAGTATAGCTGCATAGGTGCACTTAGCTGCTGTAAGCGTGTATGAGGGGGGAACTGCAAGTCAGAAGTCACATTTCCCTAGAACCCTAACCCGACCCTAAACCCTAAACCCTATAAGCCTAAACCGTTTCTGAAGTGGCCTCCAATACCCGGAAGCCGTGGAGCCAACCGTGGCAAAGCAAGGCCTGAAGCGGCGTTGTCGTTTGAGGGCATTCCTGTAACCCCTTAGGGTTTAGGTTCGAGTTTAGGGCTTAGTAGTTTAGGGTTTAGAGGTTTAAGGTTTGGGGGGTAGACATGTTGACCATTGACTACTAAGGGAGTTTGCTTCACAAGAAGGAGCCGTTTTCAAAGTATGCACCGGTTTGGGAGACAGGAGGGGCTTGTGTTAGTCGTTGCTCTCCCTCCAGACATGTGGTATTGTCAAACGAAGCCCAATTAAAACAAACTCATGTATGAATCCCCTCAAAAACTAATTCCAAAGCAAACACCGTAAACCCAATGCCCGATACAATCGTACCAAGCCCAGCTTAAAAGTCACACCTATGAATGCCTCAAAAGAAACAATCTAAAGACAAGACCCTAAACCTTGTGGATGCCTCACAGAAACCTCTGCAGAACCTTTATAGATCCCTTTGAAAGGAACCCAAAACCCTAAAGCTTTAAACCACACCGCCCTAAGGGTCCTAACACTTTCGAGCACCTCAAAAAGTACCATTTCTGAGACCNNGGCTCTCCCTAGGAGATTCCGGACCCCCCTAAAAAGATACCTGGACCCTTAGGGCGGGCCCAGAAACGTAGTCCCTCTCCAGCTCCCCAGTGTGGAGCTGCAGCTGCAGATCCTTAGCAGCAATCGTTTAGTTTCGGGTTTGGGGTTTGGGGTTTGGGGTTTAGGGTTTAGGGTTTAGGGTTTATGTTGTCTTTTAAGTGCAATGCACCCGTTTTCTGTGCGACAGAAGGGTACTCCCTAGATGGAGGTGCACTAAAGGAATGGGTTTTGGGTTTCAGGGTTTGGGGTTTAGGGTTTCGGGTTTAGGCTTTGGGGTTTAGGGATACGGCTTGACAGTTAGACTGGGCAGATCCTTAGCAGCAATCGTTTAGGGTTTAGGGCTTATGGTTTAGGGATAAGGCTTGACAATTAGAATGGTAGAGACCCTTGGGGGTCCTGTACTAGCCTCATGAACCCACCCTTTTTTCACAATGTCTTTGTTAAGCGCCTGATTTTTAGAATCCCTAATGAACTCCTTTTCAGAGGATGGGGGGGGGAAGGGTTATTGATCAGATAAACCCTATAGTTGTAGCAATTATTGGATTATGTAGGCCTTCGGGGGTTAATTCAACCCCAAAGAACCTGCCTGTTCAAGGACTTCTATAAGGAAATCATATTAAGGAACCCTAAA